TCTTTTGAAAAGGCATATACACAGTGGTTTTTCCCTGCTTGTGCTTTTGATATCTTTCATCAAAAATTGTTTGAGCTGGAACATTAGGAAGCCCAAGTTGTCCTGATGGGCATTATAGTCTTGGTGGGGTGCCACAGGGCAAAGTGGAATATGCCTATAGTGAAATGACATTGTAAAAATATGGTAGAAGAAGCAGAAGAGCCCATGAAGCCTTACATTGTCAGAAGAATTCCCACAAAAATGTAGTATTTTAGCTCAGTGAAAAAAATAGAATGGGTTCGGTTGGGGAAGGTGCAGGGCAAAAAGATTCTGCTGGAAGGTACAGCATGAGCAGGTATGCAGAGGTGGAGATGGGTGTCATGAGCTGTGGAGATCAGGGCTGAACTAAGATGGCGTCAGTCCTGTCAAATAAGAAGCCATGTTTAGAGCATGCACAGTAGAACGACAGCTCAGAGGGGTGATACAACTCTTCAAGCAAGCACAGTATGATGTGGTAGACAACACAGGCCTGTCTGAAGGGTAAGATCGCCCTCTCAGAGCATGTACAGTAGAGCAACACAGTCAACATGTCCTTATCGAGGGGGCACAAAACTACATGTGTTAATCAAAGGCTGATTTGACATGTCATAACAAGGATGAAAGCCAAGATGTTTGAACAGACAGCTTGAATAGCTAAAAGGAGCCCCGCTGCTCCGATTGACCCTACTGCAGCTAACTCTGAAGTGGTGGTAGATTCTGCTTTGTAAGATGCTGACTGGCTGCCTCCCTGACCTGGACTCTTAGAATTTGGGTTCATTATCCCCCAATTCTCTTGGGTTCATTATTACTGATTGTTTCTGAGTGATTATTAAGTTGTTATAGATTTTGATTGAACCTGTATTAATAAAAGCTGAGTCACCTGTGTTGACTCACTGTTATTCTTTGATGCCAGTGTTGTCTGTAGGGCTGGTGGCATTATAAGTGGTCCAGCACCTGCAGTCTATGACAAAGACTGGGGGCTGACTTACAGAGAAAACTGTAGCGTGGATACTCTTAAAGTTAGAGCATCACTCGTGATATGAGCTCAATATGACTAGGATGCCAACCTGGGTGATACAGATTTATGTTGAAGAATAGCAGGCTGGGAATCATGAGTCAAGGCACTGGAGAAACTTGAGTACAGGACTGAGGGATTTGTGCTGACACTTTCTGGGCAAAGCAGGAAGAAAGTATATGAGTTGTGCTTCACCTGGCACTGTATGGGGAAATACTAGAAGTGGGGACACTGGTCATAGACTGCAGAATAAGGTTTGGAAGATTTGGGAATGATTGCCTATGGGTGGTCAAGGGAGAAAAGGGGAAAGAATGGCAAATGAGTCCAGAATGTCTGGCCTGGGTGATTGGGAATGATGGAGCACCTTGTCCATCAATCAGTCTTTTGTAGGAATTCTTCCTTTCAAATGGCTTTCTTCCTTTTTCATTGAATGTTTTCTCTCTCTCCTGTTATACCTGGAATCTAGAGAATTTTTTTTAAGGGAACATTTTCTGCTGCAACTTCTAAGTTTGGCATTCAAAGGATAGTCAGCAGCCAAGTCTGGGATAAAATTCAAAGGCAACCATGGGCCTGTGGCCTAAGTTTTTTAAGATACCAAGTTCCTCTACTTCTTTCTTACTGTCTAGCTGTTAGAACTAGCGCAAATCAATATAGCTTAGAACTGGGGACTGGAGGGGATGTTAAAAGATCATCTAGATAATTTCTCTGCCTTCAGGGAGGAGTAAATCAAAATCGTTCCAAATGTATTAAACATGCTTTGGCTTTTTAAAGATTTTATTTATTTATTTATTTTTTGAAAGAGGGGAAGGGAGGGAGAAAGAGAGAGAGAGAAATATCAGTGTATCATCATCTTTCACGTGGCCACCACGGGGGGACCTGGACCACAACCCAGGCATGTGCCCTGACTGGGACTTGAACCAGTGACTCTCTGGTTTGCAGCCCACATGCAATCCACCGAGCTACACCAGCCAGGGCATAAACATGCTTTGTTTTTAAATTACATTTTTCTGAAGGACCTCACCAATGATCCCTAGGAAAGCTCTTTAGAATTAATTGATTACTATCATAGAACTATTTATGCACAACCTCTCACATTTCAGTTTTGAACTTCCTTTCTCATTTTTCTGTGGAGAGACAAAATAGCTGGTTATTATCTTCCTGATAAGAAGTCTTCACATTCTGAATCTCTTTTTTCTTCAATATATTTGTTTCTGAAACTTTTTCTTACATTCCCTTAAATAATATTCATCACTTGATACAGAGTCCTCCCTCAAGTAGGTTGCTCTTCTTTAATTTGGAACCCCAAACAGGACTCTGTATTCTAAAAAAGGTTTGGCCAATTTGACATAGAAGAACAATGATCCAATGATCCTACAGAACAGAACTTATTCCTCCAGGCCTATACTGGCTCTTTAAACCAGTGTGAGGATGGCTGAAGGCCATTTGTTGTCCTGTTATTTTCCTACTAAACTTGTATATCATTGTCCCATCCTTCTCAATAACCCTCCCTCACCAAATGTTTCTTTTTTTGTTGTTGTTATAACTGATATACATTACAGTAGTTTCAGTTGTAGAATATAATAATTTGATATTTGTATATACTGCAGAATAATTGCCATAATAAGTCAAGTTAATATCCATACCATATATAGTTACAGATCTTTATCTTTGTGATGAAAACTTTTAAGATCTACTCTCTTAGCGGTGTTCAGTTATGAAATACGTATTGACTAGAATTGCCATGCTGTCCACTGTACCCCCAGGACTTATTTTATAACTGGAAAATTGTAACTTTTGAGTATTTTCACCCATCCCCCTATTTCTTACCCTCTGCCTCCACCAGAGTCTGTGGAGTCTGTATTTATGAGGTAGGCTTTTTTTACTTTAAATTGCACACATAAGTGAGCTCATACAGTATTTGTCTCTGTCTGACTTATCTTACTTACCATAATGTTCTCAAGTTTCATCAATATTGTTGCAATGGCAAGATTTCATTCTTTTTATGGTTGAAGAATATTCCATCGTGTGTACATTATATATATATATATTTCTAATCAAATATTCCTTTAATAGACCATGATTAAATGGTTTTAATTGGTTATTCAATGAACACATGGACTTTTTTTTAATGTTAGAAAATACATGGTGCTATCGCCTAAATGCTTGTGTTCCCCTCCCCATCCCAACTTTGTTTGTTGAAAACATAATGCCCCAGGTGATGGTATTAGGAGGTGAGGCCTTTGGGAAATAATTAGGTCGTGAAGGCAGAGCCCTCGTGAATAAGATTGGTGCCCGACATAAAGACATCCCAGACAGCTAGACTGCCCCGTCCACCATGTGAGAACACAGCGAGAAGTCTGCAACCCAGAGGAGGACTTCACCTAATAATACTGGCCCCTTATCTTGGCCCCAGCCTCCAAAACTGTGAGGAATAGATTCCTGTTGTTTTATAAGCTGCCCAGTCTGTGGAATCTTATTAGAGCAGTGCAGATGGACTAAGACATATGGTAAAAAGAAAAAGAATAGAAAATGAAAAGTTTTTGTCTGACCCATGTCTCAATCATCCACTTTCCTCCCACAGGGCCCAATCACATTTCCTGATGTTTGTATACATATATAATATTCTGGTTTTTTTAAAAGATTTTATTTATTTATTTTTAGAGAGGGGAAGGGAGGCAGAAAGGGAGAGAAACATCAATTTACGGTTGCCTCTCAAGCACCCCCTACTGTGGACTTGGCCCATAACTCAGACATGTGCCCTGATTGGGCATCAAACTGGCAACCCTTTGGCTCACAGGCTGGCACTCAATCTACTGAGCCACACCAACCAGGTCTATATAATGTATTCTTAATACAATTGGCAGTGTATTTTAATACCGTTCTACATCTTGTTTTTAAATTTAATAGACCATTAATAATATACCTTGGTATACACAGATCTTCCTCATTCTATTTTATTATACCATACAGAATACTGTATAGTATTCTGCTGAGTGGATGTACCATGATATATTTATTCCAAACCTTTCTAAACACTTATTCCATTCTCCAAAGTATCCCCTACCACCTGAAGACTGGTGAAGACCATACTTCATCTTCATTGCACAGCTGTTTCCCAAGTGCTTATAGCATTGTGCTTGGTGCCATAGCAAATACAAGAAACAGTGAATTTAGCAGCCTCTGCTCTCTAGGAAACTACAGCTCCATCAGCAATAAAAGATATGGGGATGAGGAAGTCTTGATTGCCAATTCCATTGCCCCACAGTTTTCCTTTGTTCTCAAGCATATCAGACTCTTTCTAATAGCCTTCTACATGGTATAGATGGCCTTTCCACACCCATGCTGGATGTACATGGTTGTGAGGCTGATCTGACTTAAATGCTGGCATCCTCTCAAGCAGGAGGCCATGAAGGAGACCTAAATGAGTGAAGTGAAGTGAGCCAATTGGGAGAGCACAAGCTGTGTTTAAAGGGAGCAGCCAGCTGCTATTTTGCTCCAGGAAATTCTTTTCCTGTAGGCTGCTAGATCTGATTGATTAAAAAGAATCCATGGGTAAAAGGTATATGGGATATTTTTGTTTTATTTCTTATACCCACATGTCAATCTATAATTATCTAAAAATATAAAGTTTAATTTAAAATAAAAACCAGACACTTGGATCATTGTGTGAAATTACCTGATTGATAAATGTAGGCAAAATTTTAACACTGCACAGTCCCAATAAACTCATCTGTCTACCACATGCAGCCCTAGGACCATCCTTTTTGTGATCAGTGCATATTATGTGTTACATGCTGTCGAGCCAGCGCTAACTCCTGATGATCTGCGCATAGCTGGAGCATTACATTGGATTTGTGTGAAGCCTGTGGCAGCCAATGCATGAATTTGCATAAAAAGTACCTCTTGTTACTTTGTCAAGGTCTTTAATAGTGGCCATTTCCACTTGTTGAGTTTCCTCTCATTCCAGGTCCTTGGATGTGGCTGTGTCGCCCAAGCTACCCTCAGTCGAGGACATTTTGGAGGAATTGTCACTGTCAATGTTGGATTCGCAATGGCAGTTACAATGGCCATTTATGTGACTGGAGGTGTCTCTGGTATGTAATAGAAATAATAGTAGCTACTATTATCTCATCCATTTTAATGTGCTAGCACAATACTGGGTGCTTTATATACCTTCATTTATTAGATCTCAGGAGTCCTGCAAGAGTATGTATTTGATTCTATTTTTAGGGATGATAAAATTAAATGTCTAGCAAATGGCAAGTGACATGTGCAATGGCAACATTCAGCAAGAGACGGAAATGGGGCTAAAACTCAGAACTAATTCCTGTATCTGGCCACCGAATCATTGTGTTCATCCGTCAATGTAGTCTTTTACTTGCTCTATGCCATAATCAGAAACTATTTCCCAGATGCCTTGTGAATAGCCCAGTGAAGATTGCCACTCCGCAAAGGCAAAGTCCCTGGACCTGTATCTACAGCACTCAAAGACTGGGTCACTGACTGGCACTTTCATGGAAGTGCAGGTCTGAACCAGAAGTCTTGATCTAATTCTGCCCCAAATGGTGGGCTGACTAGAAGCCATTCTTAAGTTTCTGAGAAGCAAGATGAAATGATACTTAATACAACCTGGGAACTTAGAAAGGAACTATGAAAATGACCTGGCTCCGAAAGGTTCTTGGAATCTTTCAGCAGCCTGGTCTGGGTGCTCAGAACTCTAAGACAAGACTATTGGTGATAAGGCACAGAAAGGAATGGTGCATGCCGGGCACTGTGCTAGCTGCTGTACAGACTTTGTCTTCTCTCCTCTCCAGCAAGACTCTGTGGCAGGTATTAGTGTCTCCCTTCTACAGAGAAAACAGGAGCTCTGAGGGAGGAAGTAAATTGCCAGAAGCCCCATGGCCAGTGAAGAGGCAGACCAAAGATTTGACCCAGGTGTACATGACATTAAAGCTCATGCCCTGTTATTAGGCAACAGTCTACTCTGGGAAGGGCATTACAGGCAGAGCCTGCAGTTAAGCCAGCTGGCCTAGTGACAAGTGCTGCTGTCATTGCAGCACTGAAGAATGATGGCTCGGACACCCTGGGAGCCTCCTCAGGCTGGTCACCAGGAATAGTCGCTTGCTGGCTGGCCCCCTTTCTGCATCACAGTTAGACTCAGTCCTGCAGCAGTCCAGGCTACAGATTCCTGTAGATGTAATTTGTTTGGCATGAGCAGTGTTTCTGTTCAAACTCCTACCAAGCCTCTGCTGTGATCCCAGCACCGTACTGCCTACCTAAGGCACAAGAGTAACCAGGGGACCACCCTGAATGTGCATGTGTCAAGGCTTAATTACAGTGCAGGCTTCGGCACCACACACAGGACACACTCCCAAATTGAAACAAGCGTACAGGATGCTTGCTGCCATGCCTACATGATCCCATTCCATTCACACAGTGTGGTTTCCTCTGTGTTAGCACACATGAGCATATTCTCAGCTAGTTTGCTTTTGTATGTGTGTGTAGACATGTGAAATATTTCACATGAAATATGAAATATTTGAAATATTTTGCTTACATGGCACCCTGAATTAAACATTGTCAAATATTTACTTAAGATCACTTTGTTCCATACCCTACCGATGTCACTAACACCCTTTACCACCACCACTGTCCATGACCATTGGCATTCATTGATATACTAGGGAATTTGGGCAGTCACCACAGGAGGATAAGGGCAGGGACCCATAGGAAGGGACAGAGGGAGTGAAGGTTGGTACGCAGACTTTCCATCAGGCCCCAGGACTAGGGGTTAAGCCACTGGGTTTAGAGGGGTGAAGGCCAGAACCGATGGGACTGTTTTTAATAGACTTGTTTCTGGATGAGGGCTGGGAGCTGGCCAGATTGTTCATGAGAGATTGTGAAATCCCGAAACACAAGTAGAGCAGTGTCTGAGCCTGACCAATGTTGGAAGGTAGGAAATGGAGCTTATCTACTCTTCTCAGTTTGGAACTTAACACTGTTCAGGCTCCCTGGACAGACAATACCCTGGCCCACCAACGACATCCATGCAGATTCAGTATTGGCTCTAGAAGCAGCAGGAATAAGAGAAGATTTTGTGCAGGAGTTGACTTTCCCATGGCAGCTACAGCTAACTTAATGGTTTATGAGCACTGGTAAGGCCCTCTTTGAGGATTCCAACATAACCAATATATATTGGGCATAAATATAAATGAGATCTCTTTTGTGGTTGCACACTGGTAAGGAGAGCTAGCCTCCAGTTTTGAAATAGAAAATGTTACCTTGCTGCAAAGAAGTTACCGCACCCTGCTTCCCTTGTGGATGTGCCGGCAGCCTGGGAACCCAACCCAGCCAATCAGAACTCATAATATCCTCATATACCATTCAACACTGAGTGTCCCACTGCCTACTTGTATCTAGGCAATGGTTGTTGTTTGGATGTAGCATGTTATACATAACATAAATTCACTGAAAAATCAAAATAGCTTTGCTTAGTGACAAATGGAAATATTGATGTTATCTCTGTCATGGAATTGTCTGTGGGTGGTGAGGAGGAGGACACTGGTCTAGAACAGAACCTTGAAAGAGTTCAGCCTGCTCACTTAAGACTTTCATCTTGGGCCTCTGTGGGCTCTGGCTGCCCCCAGGGGCTCTTCAGGCAAATAATCTGATCATCACAACTACCTCAGCTGGGCCAGACTTTGAGTGCAGCACTCTCTGACTCTAGCACTCATGTTCTTTCCAATACACTGCTCTGCCTGGTCCTGCTGGGTCAGCCAGAGTGACCACTCATCTCTGTGAGGAGGAACTGTCCTCGTTGCTTTGCAAAGCACCCTCCCAGACACACCGTCTCTGGCTTCCAAAAGTCCCCTCTCTGTAGATCTTTGTGGTCTGGGCTATCTGAACGAAGGTCTCTATTTCTTCAACTTGAACACCTACTAACTGCCTTGCAGCGTGGAAAGTCCAAGGTGAATAGTAGTTCCTGTCTCAGGGTGCTTATGAGGGTCTAAAAAGCAAAACCCTACCTATGGGAAGTTTTATTTTAGAAGAGGAGCTCTCTAAACAAATAACTCCTCCACTGATGAACTCAACTGAGGGGAGGTGTTTTTGTTTGGAGGTGATTTCCCATGTACCTTGGTCCTTTCACATTGGGTTCCTTTGGGCTGGCTGAGTGGTAGCTACTCCCCAACACAGCCCTCAAGGAAGGGGAACAGGGTTGCTTTCAGGAACTTTCCACCACTCTGTGTGCTCCCTGCTCCTAACCCCTGTTTTCAACTTTCCTAGCATGCTGTATTCCGCTAGTCTCCAGAATTGTAACTCTCTCGAAATTTAAAAGTAAAACAAAACAGGTGATGTGTCTGTAAGGCTTATTGTAAGGAAATCATCTGTGCTTTGCTACATTAGTGTTTTCATGCTCATATTAGCCCCCAAGTGTTAGGGGTGGATGTAGAAAGGACCCTTGTGGATTAGCCAGAGGATAGAACAAAGTCTCCCCACTGCAAACCCACTTGGCTTAGAGATTCAGGATAAGTGTAGCTTCCTTCCCTTCACAGGGAGGGCTTCCAGAAATAAGCTTACCTATAGGTACTGTGGAGAGTCAAATGGCGAAGTAACATCGTAATCATCATCATTATCGTCACTCTTTTTTACAACTACATCTACAGCCCGAAGGTTCCCCACTTTAATGTGGTCACATTGACAGTGACTCTAATTCCCCCTGAACACAAAATGTCATCTGTACTTGTCAAATGTACAACCTTTTGTTTGAAGGGAAGTGAGCCTATGTACTCGTGTTCTTTTCATGTTTTGCCCACTAAGGCAGATAAGCCTTTATAAACCTGGTGAAGAAGGTCTGGAAATGACATAACATAGGACTGAAGCTCTAGAGTTAAGATGAGCCTGGATTTGAATTCTAGTCCTACCATTTACTAACCATGTGGCCTTAAGGAAGTTACTTTAGTTCTGTGCCTAGTTTCCTCACCAGTTGACTGGAGTGGTACCCATCTCACTGGGTTCTTATGAAGATCAAGGGCACGTAAGACCCCTGTGATAGCATCCGGCAAGTGTCCAGTGAATGTTGTTGTTACTAGCAAAGCCAGCTGGGACTGTTAGTGACTTTCCAGAGCAAACCCTCTGTCTGATCTTGTGGCTAGAGGGGAATCAGGAGGCTGATTTCTCTAGCCTTGGTTTAGGTGGGATGACAGAAGTGCTTCTACATCTGTGTGTGAGAGAAATATATTGTTTATGCAGAAGAACTGCAGAGAATCCACTCAGATGGCATGATCACCTCAAAGTAAACTGAGTCCCTTACCTCAGTGACAGGCATAGCCCAGTAGCCATGGGACAGTTCCCTAAAGAGACATCTCTTTTTCACTCTAAGATTGTTTGATTTCCTCTGGACATAGACTGAGAAGTGCCTAAATATAGATTTAAACCTCATAACTATAGTGTATGTTGACTTTTTTTTGAAATATATTGCACTTAACAGTTCACATCAATCTCGTAGAGGTTATTGCTTTATAGGTAGAGAAAACTCAGTAGAAAGATGATGGATAGATGATAGATAGATAGATAGATAGATAGATAGATAGATAGATAGATAGATAGCAAAAATTATGCACTTGAGTATAACTTTCTTTCTATTCAATGTACCACAAAGTTAAGCACCCTAAACAATATCTAATGATGCCATGTAGACTATTAGTCCTCCCTTCCTCCCCACTCAATCTCTCTCTCTCTCTCTCCCTCTCTCCCCCCACCGCACCACACATTCAACACAGGCACATGTACACACAAGACTCTATGTTCTCACATACAGATCTCTACCTAGAAGACTAAGTTGTGCCCAGGGTTTTGTCATAGTAACTGTCCCTGACCTGCTATCTAACATTTCAAATCATCTTATTTTCCTTGCAGGTGGCCACATCAACCCAGCTGTGTCTTTTGCAATGTGTCTCTTTGGACGGATGAATTGGTTCAAATTGCCTTTTTATGTGGGAGCCCAGTTCTTGGGAGGCTTTGTAGGTGCCGCAGTCCTCTTCGGTATTTACTATGGTGAGTAAGACCCCCGAGTCCAGAGGTTAGGGGGAGCTGGGCATAATTTGAACATCATAATTACTTGAAATAGGTGCAATAAGGCAAGAATAGGAAACAGTCTACAATAGACAAGCAATTCTGAGAGCTCTAAGTTCTAAATAATGGAACCAACATTATTATTAGGGGAAATTCATCAAGCCTCTTAATGAAAACGGTCGCAACTTAAGAGGTAGAGCAGAAATTAAGGGAAGTATATATTTAGGCCAAACCAGTGCTATGCTGTGAACATGCACAAAGTAAGGAGCTGTGTGACTTAAATAAGTCACCTGGTCTTACCAGTCCCAGTTTCCTCTCTGGAAAAATAAGGGGATTGAACTGTGGTAGGAAAGACCCAGGTCTGGCACAGGCTCTGTGAGGTCTGATGTCTCCCTTCCCCCAATGGCAAGTTCACTATACATGACATCCTCAAGTTGTGAACTCATATTAGAGCTATGAACTCTGCCTAGAGTAGCTCCAAGTTCTACATTGGCTTTTAGTCAATCTCAAAAATTCCAACAACTTTCCAAAAAAAGATTATTTCCAGGGCCCAGTTGTTAAGGCTTTGGCTCAAGTTTAGAGTGAACCGTTGAGGGCAGCCAGTGCCAGCCTGTGACTTCTCTGGTCGTCTCTGAACTCATCATACTATAAAGTGAAGGCAAATAATATGGATCTTCCAAAGTAAACCTGAGTGTTTGACTACTGTTAGTTAACACAAGACCTGGCATAGGTCTCCCTCACCCCTTCCCAGAGAACATAACCTACAGAGCTCTGTCTTCCACAGATGGACTTATGTCCTTTGCTGGTGGGAAACTACTCATCGTGGGAGAAAATGCAACAGCACACATTTTTGCAACATACCCAGCTCCTTATCTGTCTCTGGCGAATGCATTTGCAGACCAAGTAAGTGTACAGTCAACAGAGAGTTGATTGCGGTGAAAAGATGGAATTTAATAAGGAAATTGCATGGGAGCAATTACAGGCTTATCAGAAAAGACAGGTTGCGTTTCCAAAGGTCACTAGGCATCACCCAAGCTTTGTTGGCAAAAAGTTTTCTGCTTCCTTGTTAATATATACACTTGTTCATACCAGTTGAGGTCCAGAAAATAGTAGATGACTGAACATTTCAACCTCTGTAGCTGCAAGTAGGGTTTGCTTCACTATTATGTCTCTTGTGCACATGATCTGAATGTGGAGACACAGGAAAAGACACTTCAATCTCAATTCAAAGACTGTGAAGTGAGGGAGTTGAGCCTTATATTATCACAGACCCTCTCTGTCTCCTCATGTGAATAAGTTTATTAAAATTCTTAAGAAAGTTAGAAATATCAAAGTTTCTCTGCCTCATTAACATTTGAACAAGCTGCATCCAAGAACCTGTGGTGTAGCCAATAGCACATCTATTCTGGTCATTTTGTAGTGGGACCAACATTGTCAGCTTGACAGACTCTTCCTCCCTTACTGTATCCCAGGAAGGCTGCTTGCCACAGGGAAGGAAGAAAGGGAGGAAGGGAAGGAGGAAGAGAAGAAGGAAATTTCCAGCAGTTCTAAGTCTTTTTCTCGTGTATAGGACTTACACAAGTGAGAGTGCACATGTGAATAAATGAATTTTTCAGTTTGCTGACTCTGCCTTCCTCCATTCAGTGGGTGAAAAATCTACGTTAAAATCTAAGTTCTCATGGCCTCCACCCTGTTCCTTTACACTTTGGCCAGTAAACCAAACAGGCAACAAATTCTTACTGCACACTAACTATGTGATCAGCCCTGTGTCTGGAGTTTAAAGGACACAGGGCTATGAGTTGAAAGGAAATGTAAGTTGTAAAGATCCAAGGCTTGGAGCTTAAGTGCCTAGATTAAAATAATGGTTCTGCCAACTCCCTATGCAATGTCAGAAAATTACTGAACTTTTTTGGTCTCAGGTTGTTCATTTATAAAATGGGGCTAATATTAGCCCTTACAGGGTTACTGATCAGGCTAGAATGAATAATATGAGGAAAATGTATTGTAAACATCATCTGCCTGAGGAATTTGAGATCTAGTTGAAGAACAAAATGTTCACATAAGAACAAAAGAAACTGCAAAATTTCTCCTCTGGAGAGTAAGCTGGCCCCAGGACATTTTTAGGTCACCTTATCTCAAGATAACTAAATTGTTTTGCTCCAAATATTGTTCAAGTATATTCTATAATTTAATTAACAATCATTCTTTTACCTTATAATTACTGGTGCCTACTAAGGCACAGCCCCATGCTGTTCCTTGTTCAAGGGGTACAGGACCAAGACGCCGACAAGTAACATATGGATCACTCCTTGTAGGGTGACAATGGCAAGATAGAAGTCAAGTCAGAATGCAACGGGAGCCCAGAGGCTGAAGGTTCTACTCAGCCTGGGAGAGTGGAATAGGTTTTCCAGAGAAGAGAGCTCTTGGGAGAACATGTCTTTCTGAATGTAAATTCTTGTAATATTATTAATTCAGAAAGCAGATGAAATAATGAAAAGCTTAAACTCTAAAATCAGTTGCCTGGTTGCCATCCTGATTCCTCTGCTTATCAGTTCGGGCATCAGGGCAAGTTTCTTAACCTCATTCTATGTAAATTTTCTCATGTGTAAACTGAGAATAATAATAGGATTTATACCATAGGTTATTCTGAAGTCCTAATGAGATAAAGCATGTTAAGTACCTGGCTGAGAATAAGTGTTCAGCAAATAGTCACTGTCTTTTAGCTATTAAAGTAAAATAATAGTTTGGAAACTTTAGAAAACAAAGTGGGGAAAAACAAGCTAAAAGCCTCCAGAATACCTGTTATCATTTTTTTCTATATTCTCTTAGAAGTTTCCTTTTATGCATTTTTTATAAATGTGAAATATAATGCACATACAACTTTTTAACTTAATGTCAGAAGCATTTTTAAATGTTACCTCTTAGCTTTTATATTTATTTTTTAAAGATTTTATTTATTTATTTACTGAGAGAGGAGAAGGGAGGAAGAGGGAGAAGGAGAGAAACATTGGTGTGGGAAACACTGATTGGTTGCCTCTCAGATGCGCCTGACCCAGGACCAAACCTGCAACTCAGGCATGTGCCCTGACCAGGAATCAAACCAGTGACCTTTTGCTTTGCTGAACGATGCCCAGCCAGCTGAGCCACACCAGTCAGGGCTATTTTTTTAAAACAGTTTTTTGAGATGCAAATTCACATATCATACAGTTGACCCATTTAAACTCTACAATAATGGCTTTTAGTAATTTACAGAGTTGTGCAACTATCGCTATATTTTAGAGCAATTTCTGCAAAAAGAAACCTCATACCAGTTATCTATAATCCTTGACTTCATTTCACCCCAGAGCACGAGGCAACCACTAATCTACTTTTTGTCTTTAGATTTGCATATTCTGTACATTTCATGTAAGTAGAATCATACAATATGTGGTCTTTTGTAACAGATTTCTTTCGTTTAGCATTATAGTTTTAAAATATTTTAAGTATACTCCATTGATTATTTTATTATAGTTGTCCCAATTTTTCCCCCTTTGCTGCCTTCTGACAGGTTTCCCACTCCCTCCAGCAATCCCCTCTCTTAGTTCATGTCCATGGGTCATGCATGTAAATTCTTTGGCTCCTTCATTTCCTATACTATTCTTAACCTCCTCTTCTCTATTTTATACCTACCAGTTATGCTTCTTAATCCCTATATCTTTCCCCTATTCTCCCCTTTCCCCCTCCCCACTAATAACTCACCAAATGATCTCCATTTCTATGATTCTGTTCCTATTTTAGTTGTTTGCTTAGTTTATTTTTGTTCCTATTTTTTTAGATTCAGTTGTTGATAGTTGTGTTTGTTGTCATTTAAATGTTCATAGTTTTCATCTTATTTTTCTTTTTTAATGTTTATTTATTGGTTGATTTTAGAGAGAGAGGAAGGAAGAGAGGAAGAAACATCAGTTTGTGGCTCCACTTATTTTTGCATTTGTTCGTTGATTCTTTTATGTGCCCTGACCAGGGATCAAACCCACAACCTTACTAACCTACAACGTACTAACCCACAACCTAGTCAGTACGATGCTCTAATGAACTGAACTACCTGGCCAGGACCTGATCTTTTTTTTTTTAGAAAAGCCCCTTTAACATTTCATATAATAATGGCTTGGTGATGATGAACTCCTTTAGCTTGACCTTTTCTGGGAAGCGCTTGATGGGCTTTTCAATTCTAAATGATAGCTTTGCTGGATAGAATAATCTTGGTTGTAGTTCCTCACTTTTCATCACTTTCACTACTTCTTGCCTGCAAAGTTTCTTTTGAGAAATCAACTGATAGTCTTATGAGAACTCCTTTGTAGGTAACTCTCTGCTTTTTCTCTTGCTACTTTTAAGATTCTCTCTTTATTTTTAACCTTTGGCGTTTTAATTATGATGTGTCTTGGTGTGGTCCTCTCTGGGCCCAGCTTGTTTGGGACTTTCTGTGCTTCCTGTACTTATATGTCTATTCCCTTCACCAAATTAGGGAAGTTTTCTTTCATTATTTTTTTCAAATAAGTTTTCAATTTCTTGCTCTTCCTCTTCTCCTTCTGACATCCCTATGATTTAGATGTTGGTTCTTTTGCTGATGTCACAGAGTCTTCTTATTCTCTCCTCTTTTTTTTTTTAATTTTTTTCATTCTGTTTTGATTAACTGTTTATTTCTTTCTTAGGTTCCAAATTGTTGATTTGAATCCCGGCTTTCTTCCCTTCGCTGTTAGTTCCCTGTGAATTTTTCTTTATTTCACTTAGTGTAGCCTTCATTTCTTCCCTGATGTTTTTGCTGTGCTCAGTGAATTCTCTGAGCATCTTTATCACCAGTGGTTTGAACTCTGCATTTAATAGGTTGGCTATCTGTTTCATTTAGTTCTTTTTCTGAGGCTTTGTTCTGTTCTTTCATTTAGGTGATATTTTATTGTCTTCTCAATTTGGCAGCCTCCCTGTGTTTGTTTCTGTGTATTAGGTAGAGCTGCTTTGACTCCCTACCTTAGTGCACCTGTTAAGTTGTGTGGGGTGGAGTCTCAGGTATTTGCCAGGGCTGGGTACCTGTTTCCCTGCATTGTGGCTCTGTATGTGGGGGAGGGGTGGGAGAGAGGACAATGCCACTGTCTGGTTTGTGGAGGCTTGCTTGGCACTCACCCCATTTCCAGTCACTTTACCTTCTCCCTGTATGTGTCTAGTACCCCTCTAGTTGCTGCTCTAGTGGTGTTTCCCAGAGTGGACGGGTTTGTGTATATTCTAGGACTGTGCAGCCACTTTAAATAAACTGTCCTAAAAAACTGGCAGTTTCTTCCAATGCTCCAACCACTACTGGTTTTTATAGACAGAAGTTATGGGGCTTCATTTTCCCAGTACTGGGCTGCATGGTCTGCCATGAGGCTGGGATTGTTTGCTCCCCAAGAGTCCTTCCAGATTTTTATCTGCCACACATGAATGTGGAGCTGCCCACCTCACTGGCCTTCATTTCTTCCCTGATGTTTTAGTCATCACTGCCTCTCCACTGCCATGCCTTGTCCTCTCCACCCCTGGTCGTCTTACTCATCTGGATGAATATGGCTTCTTTAAATCTTTGGTTGTTGGACTTTGATACAGTTCAATTTTCTGGCAGTTCTGTGTGTTTTTTGTTTGGCAGTTAGTTGTGATCCTTCTTATGGTTGTGTGAGAAGATGAAACGTGTCTACCTATGCCTCCATCTTGACCAGAAGTGGCTCCAGGGCTACTCTTTTTAGTGACTATATAGTAGACTATAAAATGGGCACTGATTTCCCTGTTGATGTGTACTTACACGGCTTCCAGTTTTTCAATATTATAAGTACAGTTAACTTTTGAATAACATGGGGGTGAGGGGTGCCCACCCCCATGCAATCAAAACCCCACATGTAAATTTTGACCCTCTCAAAACTTAGCTACTATTAGCCTACTTTTGGCTGGAAACTCAACCAGTGACATAAATAGTTGATTAACACATATTTTCTATGTTGTGTGTATTATATGTTCTTACAATAAAGTAAACTAGAGAAAATGTTATTGTGGAAATCATAAAGAAGAGAAAGTACACTTACAGTATTTATTGGAAAAAATTGCAGTTTAAAACCCATGTTATTTAAGGGTCAACCGTAATGGTTAATGAGCACATCTGTTCTATGATTATTCCGTATTTTAGATTATTTTTATGATATGGTTGTCAAATACCCAATGAGGTCAAATTGAATAATTTTTAGAATGCATATTACTAAATCCCTGCTGAGTTTCTTTTCAGAAGTGTGGAGCATGTTTAGCTCTGCCAGGAAAGCCTGAGAGAACTGCTGTCATTTTTCTAACTTTTGGTATTGCTTGTATTTATTTTCATTATAAATCAGTTTTTTCTTGTTTCTTAATTCTGCTTTTGTTTTATGAATGTGTTTTGTTCAATTCTTTCCCCATTTACCTGTTGATAGCTCACAAATTAGTCTTGCGAATTTGAAGGAGCCTCTTTGTTCATTTTCCAGCCTGCAGTTTGTCTTTCTGTTTAGTTGGGTAGTAGTTTAGCAAGAGAATGTAGTAAAGATAACATTCTCTAGAGCCTAACTCTCTGGGTCCATACCTGACTGCCACTAAGTGTGTGACCTTGGGCAGGGAACTGACTTGTACACGAAAATATTAGCACCCACACCTAAGAGTGCTATGATAAAATGAGTGTCTGTTACAGCGTGCTCACCCAGTGTATGTTAGTTATTACTAGGTTTGTTTTTAACAGGAAGGAGTGAATTTCTTTTTAGATTTTATTTATTTATCTTTAGAGGGGAAGGGAAGGAGAGGGGGAGAGAAACATCAATGTATGGTTGCCTTTTGTACATCCCCTGCTGGGAACTGGTCTGCAGGGAACCGGCCTGCAACCTGGTATGTGCCCTGACTGGGAATCCAACCTCGATTGTCTGGTTCGCAGGCCCACGCTCAATCCACTGAGCTACACCAGCCGGGGCTAGGAAGGAGTGAATTTTGAGGCAGGAGAACCGACAGACTACAAAGCTAAAGTATAAAGCTTTGTACTTTTTCTCCTTCCACAGGTGCTGGCCACCATGTTTCTCCTTGTGGTTGTCTTTGCCATCTTTGACTCCAGAAACTTGGGAGTCCCCAAAGGCCTAGAACCCATTGTCATTGGCCTCCTGATTGTTACCCTTTCTTCCTCTTTGGGGCTGAACAGTGGCTGTGCCATGAACCCAGCTCGAGACCTCAGTCCCAGACTGTTCACTGCTTTGGCCGGATGGGGGTTTGAGGTCTTCAGGTAAGTGGCAATGGGTAGGGGCAGAGGAGAGAGAAAGATTCAGGCTGTGCTTTATCAGAGAAGGCTGTGCTTTGAATTGGGATCCTGGAGAGTATGATTGCAGAGGTAGAGGTCAAGTGCATGCTCTGGTCATGAATGTGGAATGTTTTACTGGTGATTTGTGATAACATGGGGCTGTGTGTGTGTGTGTGTGTGTGTGTGTGTGTGTGTGTGTGTGAGAGAGAGAGAGAGAGAGAGAGAGAGAGAGAAGGAGAAAGAGGAACAGAGAGACAGAGAGAAAGAATTCCAAAGAGACAGTCCTGTTCTATAAATAATCGGTATATGGTTTTAGGTGAATATTTTGATTATATCTCTGATACAATCATCTACAGATACAAGTGATACAAGAGATACAAGTGAATTTACAGATCCACTTTCTGACAAAGTTGGACTAGAATTTACATCTTTCAGTACTACTTCAAGGCTCTTTCTAGTGACCCATGCTAGCTGTGCTTTTTTGATTGATTGATTGATTCATTCATTCAGCAGATCTTCACTGAACGCTGTTTATGCTGTGATCATTGAGCCAGGCCAGGAAATTTGTAATTAGCTAAGTCAGTAGCTGTGAGCAAAGTAATGAATGGTCTGGCAACCCCTCGGACAAAGTTCTGAGGAAAGACTAGCTCTGCCCGGGAAAACTTGGAAAGGCACCACTGAAGAAAGAGCTGAGTTGGGTCTTTAGGCATGAATAAAAAATTCTGTCAGAGATAAAAGAGAGCCTGTGCACAGAAAATGGCAAGACCCTGTGCTTTCAACCTTAGAATGTGCTGAGGAACTATGCCAACGGTTAGTGCCAAGCTGCCAGGACAAACTTTGCCCATTAATTCCTTCCTACTCCCCACGCTTAAAGTCACAGTGACTCATCCTACCTATTCACCATGTCTCTCTACCAGAAAGGAACTTACTTTGGTTCCTCAGGAAATAGGGCTCTAACACGGAGAAAGAAAAGTAAGAAAAACACTTGGCAACAAATTTTCATTTAATCTTTGCTGTGAGAACAAAAGATATGAATGTCTCTAAATGCTGACCTGCACAAATAGTCATACCCACCTGATGACCTTATTTAAGTGAGAGTTTGTCTGGCCTTCACAAGTATGAGGACCAAGCCATTAGAGTAACTGACACCACTCACCATTCACATCACCACCACAGACAGCGTTGAGAGCTGCTCAAGTGCCAGCATTGGGAGGACAGAGACCTTGACAGCTTTTTCATGGCTGTATGCATGAAAATAGGGCCTGGCACACAGAGAGTTCAGTAGAAGTTACTGAACAAAGGAATGGGTATACACTGTGTTCCATACATGTCTGAGGAAATGAGGGTTATGAGAAGAAACAAGCAATAGTCCTATCTTTAAGAAACAAGAAATATAATGAATTTTCTAAAAGAGTGATTTTCAACCAGAGGCATTTTGCCCCCAAGGACATTTGGCAGTGTCTGGAGACATTTTTGGTTGTCACAACTGGGAAAGCTGGGGGCAGAAGTTGTTACTGGCATCTAGTGGGTAGAGGTTAGCATACTGGGAAACCACTAAGCACCCTATGATATCCAAGACAGATCCCCACAACAAATAATTACTTGGCCAAAAATATCAGGAGTGCCATTTAAGGAGCTCTGTTCCAGAATAATAAGCACCAGAACACAAGAAGGTTGAATAAAGTGTCTCCAGCTAAAAATGATCCTTTTCATTCTTCTAGTGGAGATTCAGAACATAAGTCTTTAAGATCCCCTTATTCCTAGAGTCCAGAATCAACCCATGAGTTTGTTTTAATCCCATGTTCCTGAGCTTCACTCAGGAGACCACTACCCCCACCACCAAGTCACTTCTGTTAGCTTCACACAGGCCCCTAGAACTAAGATGCCCCAAGGTGACCTAGTCTCCCTTTGAGACCTGCATGGTGATTCACCAAAGCTCTACGAGTGATGGTGGTTCTAGAACAGGCAGAGATCTTGCCTATTCTCTCTTGGCTTTACTAGGTATGTGGTAGGAGACCATATCTGTGGAAGAACACTGAATCACTAAATGCCAAATTTCTGAATTCCATGTCCCCTTTTAGCACCAGGGTCTTTTCTCTTCATGCATTTATTTATTTATCCAGGCAGCTACCCAATCTCTTATTTAAGGCCTTATGCTTTAAAGATGGTTAAAACCCAATTGCTGCCCTTCGTGCTGTTATGTTCTGTTTCAGAGGAGCTAGCATAGGCTCCTACATGAGGCTGAAGCTGAGAAGTGCCACAAAAGAGATTTGACTAATTGCCTCCAGGAGTTGAGAAGGTTTGCAGCCCCAAATTTAGAAATTATGGGAGTTACACGTGACCATTTTGTGGTACCCAGACATTTTAAATGGGATATTTCCAAGGATATTTCAGTTGGAGAGGATCCTGTATACAAACACTGAATATTAAAACAACAAGTGATCCAGTCTACCTGGAAGGGTGCATGAAGGTCAGAGATGGCAATTATTGACAGACCATAGAGGTCCTAAACTCCCAGAATGAAAATTTGGGGGGGTTGCTTCTCCTTATTCTATAGATTATGAGAAACAACAAAATATTTAGGGCAGAAGTTTGACATGCTTAGAACTTAAATTTGCAAAATTTATCTGACATAATAATATAAAAATGGATTAAAAATAAGAGAGTAGAAGGAGCAGAAACTAGTTAGTAAAAAGCAAGGCTTGCCGATAATCCTCAACCAAGAAATTCTCAACAAAACCTTTGAGAGACAGCAGCACCCCAAAGTGTCCCTACAGTGTGCCATCCTTTCAAGGTTCTATAGCCAAGGTAAGCATCTTGGTAGATATCCAAGCTTGGACCTGCACCCTCAGATAAAGCCAAGGATGCTTCTTCTCAGGAACCACCCACCCCCTCCTGCCCCTGTATGGCAAGCAGTGAGGCTGACCAGGAAGTGAGCCACCAGAAGGCCCAACAAGAGCCAGTATCAACAGACAGACCCTGGCTGAGTCTTGCTTTTCCAGTAAACATTAGGATGTTCCCTATTCAGGTTCTCTCCATGAATTCACTTTAATATATTAATGACTTAATGAATGAAGGGTTTCAGGGGCAATTTTAATTTTTCAAAAGTTTATCTGAAGGAATGAATCCCTGATGATGGCACTTTAAGCAATTAGCACAGACATTTTTCCAGCAAAATTATAGTGCACAAATGACCCTGTGTACATGTAAAACAACCAGACAGGGAGCCCCATCTGAGCCCCTCCACTTATGACCTGCGACCCCGACACAAGGCATTCAGCTCTGATAGGAGGAGAGTCCATCCAGGGAAAGGAGAACACGTGTCCTGGGAGATATCTTATATATAATCTGTTAAGTGACAGTGAGAGGTCCACTATAAAATAGTGATGAAAGAAAGGGAATGGAGCACCTCCTGGTTCTTTAAAACCCCTATACCTCTCACAGAAAGTTCCATCTAGATTTGGGGACATGGTAAAGGGTGCTGTGGGAACAGAGGTGCCCTGTCCTTTCTCCCATGCAGTAAGAGTGACATCTTGTGGCTGCTATGCTCAATCTCGGTGCTGTTCCCATGAGTCAGCATTGAAGATGGGAGGTTCAGAATCTAAGAGTGTGCAGATGATCCAATGGGAGAGACCACTGTGCCGATGGAAGCATGAATCTCAGAGAGGGGGAGACTTGTCCAAAGACCTCCTAGACAATCCTGAGATTAGAACTCAGTCTCATGAATCCTAGGACAGGCCTCTTGTTTGTGCTTATTTCCCTTATTATCCTTTTTCATCAAAATTTGATGCAAAGCAAAAGACCCTATGTGTAGTTATTAAGCACAATGATAGTATGTTATTAAGCACAGCCATGAATTCTTCCCTTCACCAGAACACTATGAAACCCCCACGTGTATCAGTGTGTTCCTCCTGCTTCCCCTGCTCTCCTCCACATTTTCCTGAATTCGTTTTTGTTCATCATTGCCCTGATTTTAAAAAGTCTTAACTCAAATGTATGTATCCAATGCAATATATTACATAGTTGTCCTTGCTTCTGAGCACTCATGGTCCTTTCTACTGAGTTATGTAAATGGACTTCTTGTCTCCCAAAGAGAGGATGACAATTCACAAAAACAGCTGCTTTCTCATAGAACTATACCTTCAATATAATGTAGTGACATTGAGGATTTCTGGAGGGGACAGGGAATCACAGCACAATAGCTTCATCAGAACATAACTTTAAGCTGTGTCCTCATAAAACACAGCTGCCCTCATACACCTGTGATGACCCCCCACCTCCCCCCATCTTTCCAGTCATAATCCTCAGAATTCATTGTTTCAGGATGACAAAAAGTAAACTCCTGAATAATCACCCTACACTTTTACTAGATGCCCTCTATGATGACCATATTCAAGGACAATATTTTCTGAAAGGAAAATAAATGGGACAAAGTCTCTCATTAAGTACTCATAGGACAATGGAGTGCATCATCTGAAATCAGAGGTATTGGAAAACCCAGGCTGCCAAGCTGCAGCGAGTGAGTGCCCTTATACTTACCTGTTGCTGTGTGCAAAGGGAGCCGTAGCGTGAGAAAGATGTGCTGGTTGGTGAATCATAAGCAGTAATAGCAGGAGGAAGCCCAAGTGATGTGTTACTAACTCCTTGTTTGATTTCAGAGTTGGAAATAACTTCTGGTGGGTTCCTGTAGTGGGCCCTTTGCTTGGTGCTGTCATTGGAGGCCTCATCTATATTTTTATCATTGAAATCCACCATCTGGACCCTGACCCAGACCTGGAGGCAGAACAGTTTGAAGACAAACCAGAGAAACATGAACTTAGTGTGATAATGTAGCAGCATGCTCAGTTCCAGGTTTACAGGTGGCTGAGCTGATGGAAAGATGGCATCCAGGTATCTACGTTTTCCTGAGACTGGGGCAGATCTGCCCAGTGTTCTCTGCTAACCACTAGGGACACCTAATTGGAAAAGCATCTGAATGAAGTTTTGAAAACACTGACCTCTGCTCTACCAGCCCCCCTCCCCAGAAATAGCATGAACTGACTCCTGAAACAGCCTTCTCTCCACCCTGTTTCTTTCATTCTTTCATGTGAAGTTTCATTACTGGGTGCACACTAATAACTTGGAACTTTGACCATGGACTTATTTGGATAGTCTCACTGTATTATCTGATTATCTGTATAAAACAGTAACACCAAATGCTTTATTTTCAAATCCACAAAGGTTACATTCTGAATATCAACCAAAACTAAACTGAAAGAGGAAACAGTGGTTTCAGTTCATATGCCCATGAATTTGGGGACTAAAGGGTTAACTCCCCGGTTTTGCTGTGCCACTACTATTATATAAATATTGATATGCTCCAAACCCAGGGATGTAAGAAGCAGTAGAATGCAGCTGGAAAGCATAAGAGAAGGACATTGTGGCATTCAGAAACCTCAGGAGACAAGATAAATTTGGGAAACCAAATGGAATTTTTAAATGGAAACCATTTATCAGAATAATCCCTTGCTCTTTGCATTTTTAGAGGGCACCAATTAATTTCCTGGTCTTTAGTATGTAATAACCTAAAATACAATCATAACCCTCAGTCATGAAAAATACATCACTCTGTATTTTTAGCTCAAATGTCTTTTCCTAATTGCCCACTTGAGGACAGACATTTGACAAGTGAAGTCAATGACTGCACTCATCCATTCTTCTGTACGTACCCTAGCAGCCAAAAATAGAAAGCCATTGGCTCCCGGTCTAGTGTAGTCTTCAGGATAGAAGGTCCCTGGAGATAACATAGCTCTCAGCCTTCACAGTAAACAAAGCACTTTCACACGTATTATCTAATTGAGTCCTCATAGAGACAGTCTGAGCTTCATAGATTTTTTTTTTATAAGAACACAAAATGTCAGGGAAGCTAAGTGAGTGGCCTAGGTCAGGTGGAAAGTGGAACACCTTCTCCAGTATCCTGCTCCGTTCAGAAGATCAGTACCTGGCTGAGAATCTCAGCCAGCCCTTATGGCGGCCAGAAGGAACAGGATTGACAGCTGCCAGGATGTGTACACCTTATGGACATAATTCTCCATCCTGAGATAAAAGACCTTCATTGTCTGGTTTTATTCCTGCTGTTCTGAAGCATTAACAAAGGAAAGAGGTAATGATTTGATCATGTGTTTCGTCTGCTGAAAAACATTATCATAAGACCTCCTTTCCTAGTCCACCATTATTATTCAGTCTCAATTCTCCCTCCCTGCCAGTCCCAAACACTACATTCAGGAAGTCTCCCCTGGGTTAGGCTCTTCTCTTTAAAACCCTCCAATTGATGTTCTTTGGTCAAAAGAGTCACTGAGTTACAAACACCAGAGAAATTGCTCTACATCAAGTGCTGCATCTTTAGTCAAACTGTTAAAAAGCCCAGAATTCCCAAAGGGACCCAGTTTTTCAATTACTCTGTGATAATAGCAGAACCACAAAAAGCAGAAGTAAAATACCTCCTGTGGCCTGTGTTCTGTAATCTACTGACATGTGAAATTTTTTTCTTGCTCCACAACTACTTGGATATTTCCTATTTCAAATAAAATTGGATTTTTTTATTTGAGTTTTTGTAAATATTAAGACTGCTAAGTACACTTAGTTCAGAGATTGTCTAGCCCATCTCCAAATTAGATCTTCTGAGGAGCTTTTGAAAATGCTCATGCCCAGCTGGTCATTGTAATGTCTCGGGGAATTCTAACGTGCGGCCATGGTGAAGCACACTGACTTGGTAAATTACATGGCTCTAAGGTTTCTTGGAGAACCAAGTCCAGCGGTGGCCAGGTCGTCCTGGCAAGTTTCTTTCTCAGTCTTGGGAGCCTCACAGACTAGAGAGCGGTGGTTCCCACTGCTCCCTCCCCACTCCCACCTACCACTCCTGTAAAGGGGACATTCTGTGATGTCTGGAGACGTTTTTGGCTGTCATGACTTGGGAAGGGGTGTGACTGGCATCTGGTGGGTAGAGGTCAGGAATGCAACTAAATGTCCTACAGTTCACAGGGCATCACCCTCCCCTGCAACAAAGAATTATTCAGCCCTAAATGTCTATAGTGTGGAGGTTGAGAGACCCTGGAAGAGAGGAGTAAGAGAAAATATTGAAATCCTGTTCCCTAATTCAAGTTCTGCCAAAAACAGAGTTGCCAAGCAAGTCAGGAACAGACCTTGGGGGTGGATTATAATTGTTAGAGGATGAGACAACCCAAAATTTGAGTTTTCAGGTTGGATTGTGAAATCAGTGATCTATGCAGGTGTTCATTATACACTACTTGGTGATTAATGACTCGGATTATGAAGAGGAAATGTACATTTATAAAAATCAGCCTCAGGAAGGTTTTTTTAAATGGAAAAAAGCCCTCTGATTCCAGGTGCTCACACTTAAGTCCTCCCCTCCCCCGGCCCCAACACGTGGGTTAGCCTGTGTCCGGTTCTTATCCCAGAGAATGTCTATGAGGTCGAGTGATCTGTTCAGAAGTCAGATAGACAGAAACATAACCCACTTGTTAAAAGGATCCTTTGGGAGCTAAAATTGTAACATGCTCCCTTTCTCTCTTTTTTGTCAATCCTAAAATTCAATAGAAACATTTATTTTTATGCCAAAACTAGAACATATAATTTTCCAACCAGTTGAGATCTCAGGGCACATCTAAGGTTGAAGGACTTTTCTAACCAGTAAGAGCCAGAGTTAATATTCCGCTATCAAACAGGGTAAGTGGAGTAAAAAGTCACATTTAAAATCTGATCCTTAAGGTATAAATTATTATTTCCATTATTGCTTTCACACACACACACTTGTCTTATTTAAAGGTATGTCAGTGCTCAAAAATGTCATCATGGAAAAAGAATGACTACTTCCAGTTTTAAAGAATCATGTTATGTTTTATTGAGCCACAGACCCTGCTGTTCCAATAAAAACATGTGGTAACCCACAAGAACACCTCCAGAGTTGCTATAAATAAAGGGGAGGAAGGGGATGGGAGTTTCATTCTGCCTGTGATATAATCTTACACCCCTCCCCACCCAAACCCAACACAGCCCCTGAGATGTCTCCACAAAGAAACTCTGTGTGTTGGGGGGGGGGGGACAGAGGGGGCAGGTGCGGTTCGATCTTCAGAACATAGTTTCACAGCTTGAAAACCATTGGTAAAATACTTGGAACAAGTTGTTAAACATTTTTATAATAGTTTCAAGGGTAGAAACTACCAAAAGCTATGTTAGTTCAAACTTACTCATTTTTCGGGCTTCTTAATAAGTGGATTAGATAGTTTAAACAGAATTACTCAACACACCGAACATCACCCACAAAGAGATGCCGTATATCAATTCTTAGACTGGGCCTTTAGGGTCTCTGAAATAACATGTTTATTAATCACAGCACACGGAGAGAAGAAATAGTAGTCCTGGTCAGACTTACTGTGTTCACTCTCTATACAAATAAATAGGGAAGTAGGCGGGTGGGTAAACGGATAGGTAGAGAGGCAGGCAGGTAGAGAGGCAGATGATCAAAGCACCCACCAAGCCTTATCTGAGAAGAGGGAACCGCTCTTATCCAAGAGAAGTGTCTCTGGATTAAGGAAGGGAGAACCCCCTTATAAACTGAATATGAATAAATGCACCCAATTAGCTGACAGAATCCGTGGAACAATGTGTAGACTCTATCAAGCACAATGTGTAGACTCTATCAAGCACAATCTGATTCTATCTCCCTCCAGGGCTATATTATCTCTTTTGTGGGCTTTAGGCCCTTTTGCTTTGGGGGGACCTTCTCCCCCTACCCCCCCCCACACAAATTATAAATTATATTTTACAACTGTACTGGTGATAGGCTTTATTATATTATTTTTTCATATCATGTTAGAAAGATTAAAACATTTCTGTGGGCTACTGAAAATATAATGAGCTGTAGGTTTTGTGCCGAATGAAAAAGTGGGCCCTGCCTCCTGCTTCCCTCTAGTGCACCCCCTGGTGTCTGGAGCCCAGCCACACAGCAGCCTCTTTCCTCATAGCCCTCAACTCCCTGCCTGTAAGGTCTCAGCAGATAGGGCCCAGGGAAGACTGAAACCCAAGGTGGGAGTGAAAGCAGAAGAGAGCTCTGGGAGTCCTGGAGATTGTGAGGGATACTGTAGAGGCCAGGCCCAAGGCCTTGGGGATCCTCCATATCTTGGTCCCTCCCTCCTTGTGAAGTACCTAGTAGGAAAGGGGATTTCCTGATGTCCTGTGAAGAAAGCAAGGGGGTCCTGGGCCTTGGGCACCATAAACAACAGAAACCCTGTGCTACGTTACTAACACATAATTCTTGTGGACTGTGTCACAGTTTACAAAGCACTTTCACGTCTAACATCTGATAACATGCTCAGAGGAGCCTAGCAAGCAGATTATTATCCCCATTTAGAGATGAGAAAACTGAGGCTTAGAGGCCTGAATGATCTGCACCAAGTTCCAGAGTGAACAGTAGCAGAGGCGGAAGGCAAATCACACATCTAAGTGGAATGGACAATGGCCCTAGTTTGCCTGGGACTCAAGGATTTTCTGAGATGTTTGAAGTCCATGCTAAAACTGGGAAGAGTCAGTCACCCCGCCACCTGAGTCAAGACTTACACACTTCCCACCACCGTGCCAATAAGTCCACGAAGTGGAGAAGAGTAGAATGGGAATTCAGTAGTACAACGGACTCTCCACACGGCTGCAACAGTCGCGATGCATGGCCAGGACTGTTCCCTCTCTGCCCCCACCTCTGCCTCACTACTTCCCTGGGATTATCTTTTGAAGCAAATCCCAGACATGATATCATTGTATTCAGGAATATTTTAATGTGTGTATCTAGAAGATAATAATTCTTTAAAAATATTAATATCACACAAAAATAATTACCAATAATTTCTCATCCACATTATATGCAGTTACAGTATATGTTTCTGGTGAAACCGCCCTTCCACTCCGGCAGATAACAGTGTGGACTCTGTGACCCCGGCAGACAGGTGGTTTACGCTGGAGTCCAATTCCTCAGGAGAACGTTGGGATTTTGTAGCACTTGTTCACCTGTGTTTTGCACTTTTGTGTCATAGTCTATAAGATTTTTGCAAAATATTTTCATTTTTACACAAAAAGGAAAATGCATTTGCCTACTGTGACTAAAAGTAGCCATCTGGCAGGAGTGAAATTATGTTTGGGTGGGGAGGAATTCTTGAATTTACTTGAAATTGCAGTAAAGATCGTCAGTATTGTTATATCAAAAAATGCATGCTCTACAAAATGCTCACATTTTAAAAGCTACAATGCTCTATGAACAGAACTCCACATTTTTAACAGCCATGCATCACTGGGAGACACTGCCTCACTGAGGTAAGTGAAAAGCTAAAAATGTCTAAGCCACTATAATCTTTAGTACTGGCATTTGTTTGCTACTTCCTATTTACTTACACTTCTTTTCCCAAAGACTTCAGACTTTTGGAAATAAAAGCAAATAAAAAGTGGCACAATAAGTCTCAACCTTGTCTAAAGGAAAACGCCTCTACTAAAAGGGGGTTTTGATGGCCCTCAGCGGGCCAATCTCTAATGATATTCTCAGAATAAGATTCTCATCTCGCACATGACAGAGCAAAAAGACCTTCATGGAACAAGGAAAGAGCAGACCTCGCACTGCCCATACCGGAGCCTAATCTTAGCCTGGTCTAAGGGTAGGGAATAGGTGTTCTGTTGCTGAACCACTGAACAAGACCATGAGAGGAGTCTGCAATCACAGGTTGGAGGCTGTGTGGCTAGTGCTCAAGAGGAACCCTGATTCACTGCTGAATAGCTGAGACCCTCTAATCCTCAATCTCTTCATCCATGAAGTGGGAATAGTACTGGCTCGTGCTTTCTGTTGGTTGTTGAAACTATGATGAAAATGTCTGTGGAACTTTGAACATGGTGCCAGGAATTTACTTCCCTCTTCATAAGTGTCAGCTAATTCTATCATCTTACATTTACATACTCAGCTATATATATCTGCTTTGCTAACATTAAAAAAAATTGATGAAGAAAATTCTCTGGGAATGTACATTTGCTGACAATCCAATGCATAACTGGCTTAGATTTGACAATTATCTTTTTTTTCCTTTTCTCTTTAGTTTTCTTTTCTCTTTATCATCATCGTCATCATCATTTGTTATTGTTGTTGATAATGACGATGACATTGTTATTTCCAAAGGCAAAACTCTAATGAGGTTGGCATTCATGTGGCCTTTTGGTGGCCTGATTGCCAAAGCTCATATAAGTCTTTTAAATTTTTTATTGTATTTTTTCCATCACCATTTATCTCCCCTATGACCTCTTCCATCTCTACCTACCCTCTTCCCCCCTAAGGACAACAGCGTGATGAATGACAATTCTCTTAATATACTCAGGTGCAAAGAACCTACACAGGGCCATGCTTAGTTCATGGATCACAGTGCCTTGCTTTTGGTGAATCCATGTAGAATTTCTGACCCACAGAACTGTAAGTTAATTAAAATGTCATTGTTTGAAACCACCAGATTGGTGATAATTTGTTGCAGAAGCCATAGCAAACTAATAGAGATGATAACCCTC